ATTATACTATAGTAATAGTACTGTATTAGCAATAATAATGATAATAACAATATCAATATTTCATTTCATTTAGTACTTTAGCTAATTATTGTTTAAATTAAATTTAAAAGTTATATAATTACTACTAAATTATGTAATATATAAATTGTTGATATGATATGTCAATAATTTGTTTAATAAAAAATAGAAATTATTTTATTAATAATTTTTTGTGTATAATTATTTACCATATTTTAACATTATATATATATATATATATATATATATTGTACAATAATTTATATCATTATATCACTTTTGTTTATTGTAGTTATGTTTGTGTGTGTGTTGTCTTATAAAACAAATTAATACTTAAATCAACTAATTTTGTTGTTGTTGTTATTTTATGATTATATCCAACAATAAATTGTTATTATCTTTTACTAATACAAACATACAAACACACACACATACACACACACATACACACACACATACACACACACACACACACACACACACACACACACACATAAAAACACACAGTGAATGTAATTATTGATGATTTGCTAATATAAAACATCACCGATAAAATTATTTTTGTTTTATTTTGTTTTATGTTTTGTTGTATTATTTTTTATGAGTCGGAAGATTGTATTAATTTTTCACTTTTATTTCTAGTGAAATAAACTTTAGTACAACTATTGTAAAATAAAACTCATTGAAATTTTAGTATATTATAGGATACTCTCTCTCTCTCTCTCTCTCTCTCTCTTTCTTTCTTTCTTTCTTTCTTTGTATGTAATGAAATGCTAATTCAATCAACTTCTTAATGATGTGGATCAGTGATGATGACTGAGATGACTCTCATTACATAACAACATAGATTGGGTGTGATTGCGGGTGAGTGAGTGAGTGAGTTAACAAAAATAAAGAGAAAGAGAGAGAGAGAGAGAGAGAGAGAGATGTATATATATATATATATATATTATTTGTTTTTTTGACTCAAACAAAAAATATTTCTACTAAAAAAAATTTGCTTCAAAATTGTATTAAAATTTAAAAGTATAAAGTTTTCTAAAAAAAAATTTATACTATTTTTTTGTTGTTGATTTGGTTTTGTTTTATTTGACTTTAAATACTGTATAATACCTTAAAAATATATGTGAATGACATAAGAAATAGTGAGACAAAATGAGATAAAAATATAACAATAAAAATATAGTGAATATATATATATAAATTTATATCTATTTTTATTATATCAGTTAAGTAGTAGTGAATTGGTAACAATGAATAACTTAATTGCCAACACTTTTATATATATATATATATATTATATATATAATGTCGACTAAAATTGTAAGTCTAGTATGTCTACCATAATTTTAGCCTAACGTATAATAATAATAATAATAATACAGTAATAACACTGTATACAGTACTATACTTTCACTAATATACTGTATATATTAAAAGCTAAAATTGAAGTCACAATACATGACTTGAATTGATTATAATAATAGATAATAACAGCAAAAATTGTTTTCCTATTCAGTGTTGATGTGTATTGTATGTGTGTCTGTGTGTTATGTTTTGAGTTGCTTTTAATTTGTTTACGTACTGTATATATAAATTTATATACAATTTATATATATATATATAATATTATTATTAAATATTATATATATATTGATATATAGATTTTGTAATATATTTAATAATAATGTAAAAAACCAATATTAATTAATAGAGTAGTAGATATCCATTATGTCTAAAATTTATATATTTTTCAATACAAACTACAAAAATTTATTATTATCTCTGAAATTATGTTTACTATATATAAATTACTATTGAATTTTTTTGGGGGGTTTTTATTTATCTAAAATTAATATTTTGTAGATTTATATAGACTATAATGAAAATTAATTGAAAAAATACTTTTAGTTGAAAATTAGAAAAATTTAGAAAATAAATTTTCGGTAAAATATTTTGAAAATAAAAAAAACATAATTAATTTAATTTATTAATAATAAAAAATTTTATTTAATTTATTTACATGAAATATATTTTTTAATAATAATAATATAATGATTCTTACTATTAGTGAATATTAGATAATTTAATTTTTTTGCATTATATATAATTTTTATATGATGTCATTTTTTGACTGAATTTTTTTTAGACATTTCGGAAGTATATAGAAATTTGATAATAAATTTTTTTCAAAAAAAAATTACAATAATTTTACAATAAATGTCAAATTTTTTACAATCTTATCAAAATAATAAAGAAAATATTGTTGCTTTTAATATTATTAAATACAATATAAACTTAAAATTATAATATTATAATATGTCATTGTTGTCTAATATTGTATATTAATTTATAATAATAATAATAATATTTTAGCAGTTTATTAAAGTATTTACAAATTATTTTATATATTTTATACAAATACAATAAAATTACGTTTTTGTTAAACGAAATTTTAGTCTCTCTCTCTCTCTCTCTCTATCTATCTATCTATCTATCTATCTATCTATCTATCTATCTATCTATCTATCTATCTATCTATCTATCTGTCTGTCTGTCTGTCTATCTCTCTCTCTTGATCTCTATGTTTAAAAATATTGTATTAAATATAAAATGAAAAATCAATTTTAATGAGTTTTGTCGCTCTCATCACTGTCACTGTCATAGACACACATATATATAAAATATAATTTTTTTATTAATTATATAAATATAGTATAAAAACCATTAAATTAATTTCAATTCAACGATTTTTCTCATTACACATTTGTTATATGTTATAACATGTTCATTAAGTACATATAACTACACTATATAAATATATATAATATTATTAATATAGTATAGAAAATAAATTTTGAATTTTTTTAAAAAATACAATATAGAGTAGTACTGTTTGTAACTATTGTTTACTAAATTTTTTTGTTATAAGTGATATGACATGCAATTATATAGATTTTATAAGATTTTTGTTGTTTGTTTGTTTGTTTGTGTAGATATTTGCGCTAATACAGTGTAAATATATTTATTTTTATTTTTTAAAATATACATAACTTTTATATAAATATATACTGTATCTACAGTATTGTAAACTAATAAACCATATATATATATATATATATATATTATATTTACTTTTAGACTACAAAATCAACAAAATAAAAAGTATTAACCGTATATATTGTTTTTAAAAAAAATATAATTAATTTTTTTTTGTTCACATGTACTGTATATTGTTAATACAGTAATAGTATATTGTATACTGTATTATAAACTGTTAAATTTTAAGTTTAATAATTATTGCAATGTATAACTAGATATCATAGTTTATTTATTAGTAAACTTACATAATAATAAAATAATTTATTTTTATTATTTTATATAATATAATAATTAATCAATAAATTATTTAAAATTGTCAACTTGTTTATATGCATATTTAATTTAACTATAATTGAATGTTTGAAATGTTATATAATTTAGTTATTTCAATATATATATATACAGTATACACACTTTATATATAAACTATTAATTTCCTATAAAACAGTATTAAGTGCTTTAACATTGTGTGTCAAATAAAAATTTCATTATTATATATAAATATTTAATTACTGCCATACAAAACAAAATTAAATGCATTTAATTTTGTTTCATAAATAATTAAATACCATATGACATTTAAAACTTTATATTAATAATAATAATAATAACAAAAATAACAAATGTCTACCTAAATAAACAACAATAATTATTAATTATTTAATAAATTATTAAATAATTAAAAGTAATTTCGTTTTCTATTATTAATAATTTTTATTATTGTTATTATTAAAGTATATTATTTTTTGAAAAATAAAAAAATATATATATTAGATTTTATTTTTTGTTTTCTAGCAATTATAAATTTTCTAATATAATTTTAATCACTGAAAAAAATTGATTAAATAGCATCAAATATGTTAGTTTAACAATTAAATTATTTTATATAATAATACATTTATAAATATCATTAACATTATTGTTAATAATAATATTATTATTTTTATTGTTATTATTATTATTATAGTCTACTATTTCAATTACATTAAATAAACCGAAAAATTATGATAAGGGTATACAATATTTAATATATATGTATATATATATATAAATTAAACATAGTAATTTATATACTACTATAATATATAATGTATTAAATAAATTGTTTGTTTGCCTATTAAAATAATTTTTATCATTAATTTTTTTCTAGTAATAAAATGAGTTCAATTTAAATGCTTAATGTATATAAAAATAATATATATATAATAGAAATTTCTATACTATTACTATTAAACTATGAATTAAAGTTAATATAGGGTTTTTGATATAAATAAATAAATTGAAATTATAAATTACATCAAATATTACAGTAGATCGCCGTTAATATTAAATGTTTTCAATGGGGAAATTAAAAATAAAACAAATTTTTTTATTACTATGTGTTTGTCGACAATAATAAACTTTAACAACAAACAAAATATCACACATTTTGCAAAAATTAATTTTTATATAATAACAAGTATTTTAGGAATTTTTAGTCATTAATTACTCACACAACACACAAAATTAACAAAAATATCACACATATATATAGACTAAATTACAATACTTTTATAAATAAAAATTACTTTTTTTAGAGTAAATTACTGTATAAAATTAAAATACTTTTATCAGAGGAATTTTGACCACAAAATTGTTTTATATATATATTTATTTATTAACAAAAAGATAATAATAATAATAATAATAATAATAATACTTAAATAGTTGAATAGTTAAACAAAATTTATTTATTTATAGTTAACTATAGTATAGTATATAGTAATTGAATAGTATTTTAGAAATAATTTAATTTAATTTAAAATTCTGTATTAATATTATTATTTCAAAAATATATTAATTTCATATAATTTTACATCATTGTCTCTCTCTATATATAGAAATCACTCGTTGGACGTCCACTTTAAGCGCGACCCGTCGGGAACGGCAGCCTTTCATCACCATCAGACACACCCGTCCGGCGTTGATCGCAAACCGGCCATCAAACGCAAGTCGGGTCTCAATCTGTTTGAACGATTGCGGATCAGCAAACAGGACAAAATTGCGGCCAACGTTCAGCAGCACATACGGGCCATCAGAGCGGCCGAAGCTTTGGACAGACAGACCGGCGCCAATCGGCGCAAAAACAGTAAATATTATTAAACTATATATTTTTATTTAGGGCTTATGTATTATTAGAATATTTATTAACATAACTATCAAAATTCATATTATCCTCAAAACAAAAAAAAAACAATAATTAACATTTATATTGTGTTATATAGCAATATAACATTCTACATACCTGTCCTCACACACACACATGTGTCGATTGAGTTTGACATTAATGTATTAATAGTTTAAAGGATATATACTGTATTTTTGTTGCTATACTATCCTATATTAAACTTATTTTTTAACAATTAATGTTTATAACTAATACTGTTTTTTCTCTATTAACTAAATTAAAGGCTCAAAACTAGTACCTCAACGTAGCACCAGTAGTGGCGACGACGATACAAGCGGTGGCGGCGGTAGTGGTGGCCAGGGATCCGATGCCCGTAAGATGCGTTTGGTGGCAATGCTGCGGCAAGCTTACGGCCCGGACATCGAACGGGTGCCCGGTTTTATCGAGTTCGCCGAATCGGCCAAAATTGACTCCAGACGCCAGTTTGTCGACGCCTCGGCCCAGACATCGTACGATCTGTTAGAACAATGGTTTCCGGCTCTTCGGCGACGTATTGCCGAAACCGAAAAGGAAGCCAACAGTGCCGCCGCCGCAGCCGTCGCCGCCGCCAGTAGTCATGGTATGGTTGGCAACAGTGTGTGCGATGATGAGGATGTGTCGTCATCTGCGGCGGGCAAACACAAGTGTAGTCTACATAATAATAGTAGTATTAAGTCATCAAATTTTAGTCAACATAATAAACATTTAGGTAATTATTGATTATTTTTATTAAATAATTATTAACTAAATGATTTGTGTTTAAGTATTTATTTTATAATTTTTTTCTATATAAGAAAACTATTATTATATTTATAATTAAAAATTAATAGAAATATAGTATAATAAATATATATATATATATATATAAAAAAAATTATATCAGATTTTTTTAATTGAAGAATTAATTTTTACTAAAGAGTTAAATATTATTTTTTTTAATTATTATGTTTATATTATTTATATTTATTTACAAAAAAAAGTTTAATAGTTTATTGAAAACTAAATATATTTAATATTTTGTTTTTAATTAAATTACATAAACCATTTATTAACCAAAACAGATATACCATTTATTTGATCATTAAATTAATTTACTTTAATATTATTGTATAATTTAATATTAAATTTATTTGAATTGAAACACAAATCACTTAACTTAAGTAATAGTTTTTATGTAGTTTTTTTTAAAAATATATATAATATATATATATTATATATAATACAGTATAATAATACTGTAATTCATTACTATTATATTATTTATATTTATTAAAAAAATTATTATTATTATTATTATAATCTATAGGTTTGCTAAACCGGTCGTCGCCGCCGACCCGTCGCACAGCAGCTCACAGTGCCGTCAATCTGGCCTACGATACGACGGGCACTACGACTACTGCTTCTGCTGTCAGTGTAGGCGAGGAACTGGAGCTCAAAGAACAACAACAACAACAACATTACCACCAAAAACAGCATCAAATTTCGCGATGCAAATCGGGATCACCGACTACTTCGTCATCGTTTAGAGCCAGTGATCACCGCAGTCCTGACGACCGTAACGGCAGTGTCCGTACGGATAGTATCCGATCGTCGGGCAGACTATTTACTACTGGTAGTGCTGGCAGTAGTAGCGGTAGTAGTAATACCAATGCTCATCAAAACATATCCGAGTGCCGGCATCACGTGCCGCGTGCTGTCGGAAATACTCAACAACAACACCAACATCAACAACAACAGCGCCAACAATCGCCGTCACCGGCCAACAACTGCCCGACCATTGGCCAAAAATTGGTCAACAAAAACATGTCCAGCGATGAGAGCTTATTGTCCGGCGGTGCCGGCTCTCTGGTCATTGAAGAGAGCGCCTCAAGCGGTGGCGAATCGTCGCCCGGCTCCGGGATCTACAAGAATATTATTATCAATTTAAGTGGTCTGACGACCACTGATACCGGCGGCTCAGCCGATGAACTATCAAAAAGTTGTCCCAAAGTTAATAATATTAGCGACACAACTACCGAGTGATAGATGTGACCAATTGATTGATTGATTGATTAATTGCTAATAATTAATAAGTAATAATAATAATAATGATTATAATATTATTAATTAAAAAAAATAATAATAGAAATAATAATAATTTTTAATCGACTATTTAAAATAAAATTGATATTTAATTAATTAGATAAATTTATAAATTTTTTAAAAATAATTATAATTATATTTATTTATTTTGATTGTTAATATTAAACTAATTAAAATATGTTTTTATATTAAATTAAAAATAATTTCTAGTTTTTGTTTTGTTTTGTTAATATTTGTTATTATTTTTAAAAAAAATACAACTATATTGTTATTGTTATAATTATACAATTATATTATTTAAATTATTGAAAATTATTGTTGCAATTTAATTGGCGCACAATTTGTATAAATAAATATTACTAAAGATTTTTTTAAAATCTTAATTATCAATATTATTATTATTATAACAGTATTTGTTTTTTTTGGTTATTTTGTACAGTAATTTTGTTTTTACATTAATAAAATTGTTATAATTAATAACAAAATTGTTTTTTATATACATATATATATTGATAGATTACTTCAATGTTATTAATTTAAAAAAAAAATTAAAATAAAATCATGTTATTTGTAAATAAATTTTGTTTTTCTTTCAAGTTGTTTATTTAAAATTGTTTTTATATTAAAAATTTATATAAATTGCTTATTTAAATTTTTAATATAATATTATTTATTAATAAATATATTGAGAATTTTTTAAAAATCTATTAAAATATAAACACATAAAAAAATTATTTGAAAAACACTTGTGATTAGTAATTATGAATTTTAATTTTAAAAATATATTACTATTATGTTTTTTTTTTGTATACAATTTATATATATATAATTTTTATATTATACACAAACATGTACGCCATCGACCCAATACTCCACACAACGTAATCCCTGACAACAAGTGGCCATTTCATCGCATTGTGCCATACGGTGCTGACAATGATCGTCATCATCTACCTGTCCTATTGACCCTACATTGCTGCTGATTGCAGGCACTTAATTGTATAATAATAATAATTTTTAAATTAATTGTAACTCAATGGATAAATACGTGAAAATAGTGAATCATATAAAATATATCTATATATCTCATATATATATACCTGTTTTTTGGCACCGACCCGATCCATCATCGCTAACACCCGGTTTGATACCAACACATTTGAGTCCCGAACAGCACTGGGATTCAAGAAAAACACCGCACGATTGACTTTCATTACGACATAGTCGGGCACCGGTAGCTAATTGAACACAAAAAATTGATCAGTTTTAATATATTTAAAAATATATATTAATACTTATTTAATTAAATTTACTATTAAATACGATTTTTGTTTACCTAAACTAACTGATGCTATAATAGCAACAAATATAATACTTATATTACTATTCATTTTATATTATTATTGTTATTATTTTCAATTTAATAATACTATATTAATAAAATATTTTTATAATTATTTAATTAACTAAATAATTTTGTAATTGTTTTTATACATTTTTCTTATCAATAGTTTTTCATATATATATATATATAATACATGATGCACTAATTGAATATAATCTTATATATATATATATATATATATATAATTTTTATATATATATATATTCAATTAGTGCATCAAGTACAATTATCTATTATAAGGTTAATTATAAGGTATATGAAAATTATTTCGTATATTGTACTATAAGATAACAAATTGTAAAACAGCAAATTTACCTTGATATGATCAATATATTGAAGTATATTAATAATTAATTTAATATATAGCATAAAACAATAATGTTTGTATAACATATTTATAGACTAAGCTTATAGATTAAAATATATATATATATTATTTTTATTTTTAAAATTTTTTATTAAAACATGTGTTTTAATTTAATTAATTATATATTTTTCATAAATGTGTAAAAGTAATTTCAAACTAATCTAATACAGTATTATTATTATTATTATCATTATTGATTATTATAAAATATTAATATGTTTAATCACACAACTTTAAATAACAAAAAAAACAAATCAATAAAACAAATTAAATAATACATAAATACACAAAAATAAAATAAAACTTATTTACAAACAAAACAATATTGATAATAAATTTTTTATTTAATGTAATAATAATAATAATAATAATAATAATACAGAAAAATAATTTATATTAAGTGATTGAATTTTTTTTATAAATTTATTAAAATATAGATATTTTTTTAGGACATTTATTTATTTATTTATATACAAACATACACACCATCGATATCAAACTCAACGCAACGTAATCCCTGACAACACTGGTTGGGCACCTCCTCATCGCACATAGACATACGTTTTAAACAGTGATCATCCTGTGGTAATACTGCTGACCAATTAGAGGATTATCGGTAAGGGATGTTTGGATAGTGGGGATGGGATGATATATAGTATATACATATTATACACCATTTAATTATACATCACTAATAAGCACGGGAGGGGAGAGGGAGGAAGAGGTATATACCTGTTTTTTGACAACTACCCGATCCATCGGCCACCCGACGCATCAATGGTTTCCTGAAGCAGTCTAGTCCCGGACAGCACTGGAAACCGGCAAAACCGCCGCACATTTGTGTCTCGTTACGACATTGTCGGGCACTGGTAGCTAAAATTTTTGAATAAACAAAATAGTGAGTTTTAAAACAAATTTTTGTTTCTATATAATTTTGATTTTTAAAATACTAATAATATTTTATTTTAATAAAAAAAATGATTACCCAAAGCAACATATGTTAGGATAACGACAATTATTGTAACAATTTTATAATTCATTTTATTTTTTTTAATTATTTTTAGTTTTAATACTTATTTTTATAAATAATTTAACGGATAATATGTTATTTCTATTGTTTTTATACTTAGTTTTAAGTAATTTTTTGTGTATTATATCAAGTTATATGTTTAAAAAAATAATTAATTATATTATATGTCTATGAATGTGCACAAACTATAATTGTATCATGGTCTATTATAATGTACTGAAAATATTTTTGGTTAATCGGAAGTTTAAAGCCCAGTGATAAAACAGTGTTTTTTCAACGGAAAATGCTTGTTTTGGTCCTAAATAACATATTCCGATAAAAATAAAAGTGCGGAAACACCTAAAACCTACTAAAAACTGGCCTAACATACCTGACCTGACATACATAGCATAACATTATTATTACAGTAATCTAACTAATTGTTATTGTAAGCGCGAGAATATTACTATTGATAAAACTTAATAATAATACATTATTTTTAGAACTAAGCACGAGATTAATATTTTTAATATTAATTATTCGATAGAATAATTTTTTTAAAACCCCCAGTATTATATAGATTAGGTTAAGTTACTATTGAAAATAAGGTTAGGTTGCGGATCAAACACCAGGTTAGGTAACGGAGCGAACACTAATACATTAGGTTAAGTTATGTTAACATTTGTGTAATACCATTATAATTAGGTTAAGGTTGCGGATCGAACATCAGGTTAGGTAACGGAGCGAACACTAATACATTAGGTTAGGTTATTTTAACATTTGTGTAATACCATTATAATTAGGTTAAGGTTGCGGATCGAACACCAGGTTAGGTAACGGAGCGAACACTAATACATTAGGTTAGGTTATGTTAACATTTGTGTAATACCATTATAATTAGGTTAAGGTTGCGGATCGAACACCAGGTTAGGTAACGGAGCGAACACTAATACATTATGTTATGTTATCTTAGATTTGAGTAGGTTTTAGGTGTTTCCGCACTTTTATTTTTATCACTTAATGTTTTTTAGGACCCAAAAAAGTATTTTCCGTTGAAAAAACACTGTTATATCACTGGGCTTTATACTTCCGATCGGCCATATTTTTATATATCACTTAATTTATTTCATTTCTATATTGAAATATGTATTGACGTAATATAAAACGTGTATTTTTACTTTAAAAATATTATTATTATTATTATTATATAATTTAAACTTTATATCACTAATTAATTACAAGTATTTTCGTATAACTTATGTTTTATTTAGAGTACTTAACCTTAAATAAATATATCAATAATTCAAGTGGCACTCAATTGATATTTGTATAATTTTTTTTTCTATAAAATAAAACTAATAAAACCTAATTAATTAAAACTTTAATTAAAAATAAATTCAATAACAATGCTAGAAAAAAATTATATTAATTAAATAGTCATATACAGAAAAATTTTTTTTTTTTGAATAAATATTTTTTTACTTAAGTTATAGAGTCTATAATATAGACTATAAAAACATACTTTTATTAATATTTTAATTGTTATTCATTATTTTTATTAGTTATAAAAAATAAAATTGTTTATTATTGTATTTATCTGTTTAAATCAAATTTTTAGTAAATTAGTTAACAGATCATACAAAGTAAAATAATTTAAACTAATGTTTTTTTTAAATAATAAACATTATTTTGAGTTTAAATATTTACAGTATTTTTATTGATTTAAGTATAATGAATATATAATAGATATAAATATTTTAAAAAATAACACTATTGGGATCTAATAACAATAATTACAACGAATTAATTTAAACATAATAAATACAATTAAGTTTAATATTTACAGTTTTTAAAAAAACAATTAAAATAAATTATTTTGTATTAAAATTTAAATAGTAATAGTTTTTTTAAAATATATATTTATAATGTTTTAGGCATAAAAAATAAATATTATATAAATGTTTAATAAGTAATTTTATAACTAATAACAATATTATATCGAATTTATTTAAACATAATAAAAGTAAGTAAATTAAAAAATATTATTTATTGATTTCTAAATACCTATAAAATAATATAATATTTTTAATTTTAAAAGTTAATTTTTACTGAATAATTATTTAGAAATATAAAATAATATGTCAATTTATTTATTAAAAATGTTTTATTTTTTTAAATAAAATAATTAATAATATGCATATCATGTTAGAAAAATATTTATTTAATTATACAATAATTTTACATTTAAAATATTTTGAGATTTTAAGAAATTAGAAAAAAATAGTAATAAAATTCATAGCAACTACTGTTAAAACAGTAAAAATTTAAAAAAAAAATAATATAAAAATAAATGTCAATTCATTATACAGTATTTTACAAGCATTAGACAACTAATTTCATAAATACTTGAATAAATAATTAGTATTTTTATACATGTTTTTAGTAAAAAAAAATTATTTAAAAAAATTTAGTTTTGCTTGTTTATAGTATTATAAATTTTAGGAGTTTATTATTATTATTTTTTAGATAAATTATCAACAAATTAATAGATAAAATTAGTAAAAATTTAATATTATTAATATTATATAGTATTTTTGATTTAATATTAATAATAATAATGACTGAAAATACATACAATTTTAGAGGCCGTGAAATATTGAATGTATTTCCTCGTGAATCCATTGAGTATGCTATGGATTACAAGCACCGGGATTGCGATCGTATACTCATATCGTATCCGCGATCGGGTAGCAATTGGATACAATATATATGTGATCTGATACTAAATAATGGTCAACCGGTTCAGAAAATTACTCAAATCAAGTACAGGTTAGAGTTTGTCGGCAAACAAGTTATCGATAGCCAATCGGACAAAAAGGTGACATTTATTGCCACACATTTGCCGCCCGATATACTGACCATCAATGGTATGTCATAACAGATAATACAATAGACTTGTTATACTAAATAAAATTTGATTAGTTTTAAATTTTTTAAAACTAATAACTAAGTTAATAATAAAACTATAATTTAATATAACATTAATAAACTTAGCATTTACTTAAATTTTATCAAAAAAAAAAGTTTTATCAAACTATTAAACATACTTATAATATAATGCCTAAAAATATAATAATATAATAAAATAACTTTAATATGAAATTATTAGTATAATTATAAATATAACCAAAAAAAATATAAATATTTAATTTAAACAAAAATTTTATATTGTAGTTGTTGTTGTGATCATTAGTTAAAATTAGTGTAACATTTTTATTAATGTTTAAATTTTTACAAAAAAAAATGTAAATCATTTATATATATAACAATTTTTTTCAACAAAATTAATTAATAGCTAATACCCGGTATATGTTTGCCATACGTAACCCTAAAGACATGATCGCATCGTTATATTATTATCTAAGAGACATGCGTTGGATATCTGAGGAGTCGATCAACGATTTTCATCATTTTTTTAAACTGTATATCAATGGCCATAACTACCAGAACTATATGGGAGACTATTTTGAGTATGTGCTCAGGTATTGGCAGCTCAGGGATCGGGAAAATTTTGCAGTTATTATCTACGAGGATATGATCCGGGATTTACGGAAATCGGTTATAGAAATTGCACAGTTTTTGGGACCCGACTACAGGGACAGTGTACTGGCAATGGTCAACATTGATGATGATTATGGCCAACAGTCGGAAATACTGGCCGACCGTATTGTCAGGATGTCGTCAATTGGTTTGGTTAAGACAACGTATAATAATTCACAACTAATACGTAAAGGAGTTATCGGCGATTGGAAACAATTGTTTAGTAAAGAGGAAAGCGATTTAATTGACCAGAAAGTGGCCAATGAATGGAAGGGTACGGGTCTGGAGTTGGTGTGGGAAAGGGATATGAAATGGGAATCATAATAATAATAATAATATTAAATAATATAAAAGTTGTTAATTGTTTATGTATTTTGTTAGCTAATTAACAAATTATTATTAGTAGTTGTATTATCGCCTAATATATTAAATTATATATTTATAAATGTTAATAAAATACATTATTATAACTTATATAGATATAAACTAAAGTATAAAAAATATTGTAATAGTAATTGTAATTGTATTGAAAAAAAATTATTGTATTCCTAACAAAAAAATATGATAATATTATTGATAATAAGTAAACTGATAATTAGTTAAATAAATTTTTTTATCTGTAATAGTTAAATTTAACTTTTAATAATAAATTATCATGTACACTTTTTTCTAGATATTGAATTATTAAAATGTATAACAAGGGTGCATTTTTATAATAACTAATAAAATAACTAAACTAATAAATTATTAAAATTATATCAATCATCATCAACTGTTTATAAAAATGAAATATTTATTGTAATTTATAAATTTAAGTAAATCTAAAATTATAATATTATTATTATTAGTTAAAAAACAAAAATAAAAATAATTTTTTGAATTATAAAATATTAATTATAGTATTAATTTTATTATTAATAAATTTTGAAAATAAACATATTGGCCTATCAAAATTTAATAGATATATAGATTATATATATAATTAAAGTCTATTTTTTACAATGACCGGCAGCATCGTCCACATCGGGATCGACACCAACACACTTGAGTCCCGAACAACATTGAATACCAGCAAAACCGGCACACATTTGCTTTTCATGGGCACAACCGGTTGCTAATTGTATATAACAAACAATCAATAAAAATTAGTAATAATACTAATAATACATAATAATTAAATTGATAGTTATTACTATTAAATAATAAGTATATATATATTACCGAAAGCAACATATGTTGTCAAAAATATTGCCACAAATATAACAATAATTGTTTTATTCATTTTTAATTTTAGTTATAGTATTGTTTCAGTAGTTTCTAGACTTAATTTTTTTGTACTTAACTGAAAAATCTAATGATCTGACAATTAGTGGTATATTTTCAATATTTTTATAGACTTTTATATTATATTATATATATTTTTTATTAGTTTTTTAATTGTAATTTTATTTTAGTTAGTCATGATTACATTAAAAGCAAGGTTAAGCAACTTTTTGTTGTAAAGTTATTGAATTAAAATGATTGTATAATATAATTTTTTTAACATAAGATTAATTATTTATTAAATTATAAAAGAATTTTAATATTTATTATAGTTAGTTTATATAGTAATATATTTTATTATTTGTATTTATTTTTGCAAAATTAGATGAAAAATTAGAAAATTAATTAATCTAACTTGATAAAATATTTTTACTTTTATCTATTAACCCCCTCCTCCTCATCAATTGCTTAACAAAAAAAATTTAAATTATTTTTCTACCTTATAAAATAATTATGTAATATATCTAATACATAGATTACTATTATATTAAGTAATAACATAACTAATAAAAAAATTAAATAATCATCTACCATGATAATTAACTTCAATTTAATTAGTATTGAAAATCCTATTTGATATTATTATTGATATTATAAAATGTAATAATAAAAAAATATAAAAATAATAATTATTTTTTGGATATTGTTTACTGAATAAAAAAAATTGTTACTTAATATTTTTTTAATAAAACCAATAAATATTAAATGTTTAGAAAATATTGATAATTTTAATTTTACAAAAATATTAGTATTTTGTTAATGATATCACACACAATATAACATATGTTAGGATAATATAAAATTGAATGATAATTAAAATATGTGTTAAAAATAAATGTTTTCCCTTTAATTGATATTATTGGATAAAAATGATAATTAGTTTAATAAACAAAAAATTTATTATATTTTATTTTTTTAGATTTTAATATTTATATATGATCTGTTCCTTGGTTGCTATTACAATAAATAAATAATTATTTTTAAATAATAAACAATTTTTAAAAAAAAAATTACTAATCACTTTATTGCAACTAAACTTATTTTTTTTATTTTAAAATTAATTATTTATATTATATATATATATATTTATTTAAATTAAATAGCATTAAAATTAGTTTTTATTTTTTTAATTCACTAAAATAATAAGATAAAAATCATTTACAATATTTACTATAAATATATTGTTTATATATTATATTTTATTTATTATCAAATTTAAGATGATAAAGTTAATAATATGATAATTAAATCAATAATCTATTAATCTATTAATAAGTATTTCTTTTATAGATATTTAAATAATTTATCATTTAAAATAGTTAAAAATTTTAGAATTTATTTTTTGAAAAATATTATAATAAAAAATATGTTTTATTTAGCGTTCAATTAGGTGATAGGTCTACTACATACCGGTGCATAAAATACAGTATATAAATAAAAATCAATCTATAGTTTCAATAAAATTAATTTTGACATAAACCCTGTGAATCGGCCACATCTAGATTAATACCAATACAAGTTAGTCCATCACAACACTGGTTACCAGCAATACCACCGCACGGATCGTTTAGATTAAGACACTGTTGGGAACCGTTAGCTATTTTTTGTATGTGTGGGTGTGTGTGTGTGAACAACAATACAAATAATTTTTTTTTAAATATTATAGAAAAATATCAAAATCTAATCAAATAAATAAAATTAATACCCAAAACAGCTATAATTATTGCTACAAATATAGCAATAATTGTTTTATTCATCATTTTAGTTGTTGTGTTGTATTTTTTTTTTTGATGTGTTTTTAATATCAATACTTTCTAGTATTAAACACTAAAATAATATATATATATATTTCAACAATTTTCTGTATTCAATGTTTATATATATTATTTTTTATGTATATTTTTTTATATAGTCATGTTTACATTAATATCAGGGTTAAGCATGGTTTGAATACATCCAAAAAAATAAATAAACGGAGAATACATTAAATTAGTAATTTTTATACAAGTAATTAAAAAAAATTTTTAAAAAAATTTATACTATTATATATTTTTAATTTTAATTTATTCAAATATATATTGTAGGGGAAGTGGGGTATTACTGACATTTAGGCCTAAACTAAACTAACTTATGTAAACCAAATACGCGGTAATATACCACTGGACCTTACGGTTGGGCTCCGATTACCGTATAGGTAGGTTGCTTTATATGAGTTAATATAAGTAGGTTATCATATAAGTATGTTGCCGCATAGGTAGTTTATCTTATAGGTAGGTTAACAAATAGGTAGGTTATCTTATAGATAGACTTCCATTTCTGTAGGCAACTATAAATAGGTTACCGGGCAGTTAGATTAAATTATAGATAGGTTACTATATGAATAGGTTCATTAAAATCAGATTACAATATAGGTAGGTTATCTTATAGATATGTCATCTTATGGTATTGCATACATCAATGACTATGTTATGTTGTTTGTTTCATGTTCATGCTCACATTAATATAAACTTATTACAGATATAAAATGTTAGAGAGTGGTTTTCTGGGTTACATCAGTAGATTGTTATTTGAATCATTTGCATACTGAAGTTACTCTTCAAGTGAAAGGATGCATAGTTTAATTGTATACTTAGGTATTCACTTTAGGTCTGATAACAGGTATTTTTCTGATAACATAACTAAAAAAAGATGTCACACAAAACATCAAATCTTTTCAAGTTAAAGTCCAAGACTAAATTTATTTATATCATTTGTGACCAGCTGTTACTGATCTTTTGCTCGTGTGAACCATACGGATAAGTTCAATACAGAACTCGAGGAAATAAAGATTCAACAAATTCGAAAATCTACAACGGTTTGTGTAAACAAAGTAATTTTATGTTTAATTATTTATTTATAGTTTTCGATGACTATTATGAGCTCTTGACAGTACTAGAGAAATACAGAAATTATCTCCATTCCGATCATACCGTAGAAGCTTCCAGTGATTCAGAGAGTGATAACAAAGATAATCCTGAACCACAAGCTAACCCTAAGAAGAGTAGCTATTTAGCTAATAGCCGTTTCCGATCAGGTCATCAACCTACCGGTCAATCAACAACTAACTTAAACATGATTTTTTATGCAAAATGTTTCTGTGTCAACTACATCCAGTTCAACCCAATATGATATATCAGATTTTTGTAAACTATTACTCAATGAAACAAACTTTATTTTTGTAAAAAATGAAAAGGTTTTTATTTCACTAATTATGTATAACCAAAAACTAATAAAGTATTTAAAATCTTGTAAAGGAAAGTCGCGTGAAATACTAATTAACCATAAATACAAAAAATATATGTTAAACGAAAAGCCTTAGGCACATATAAGCCGTGAGCTCTTTAAGTTTTAACAGATTAGACAATCTAATGACTCACATGAAAATACATGTAAAATAAAAATAAAAACTTGTTTTATAAAATGTTTAAAATTGTCTACGATCATTTGGCATAATTACAAAACATGCAATTTAACAAAATGTAATGCAATGCTCTGGTATTGATACAATATTTCAATATATATAAAGAAATTTTATAAGCAAGATTATTTTTTACTTACTATTTTTTTATTCAATTTAATGTTTTTACCCTTGAGTACTCTTAATATATAATAATAAGCTAATTGTATAATAATATATTGTAATAGTTGGTTGGATGGCAACGGTTGGATTTGTTTTTTGTGAGTGAAGTCTGTATCGGGAGTGGCCTGTGAAGTAACAAAACCAGTGACTGTAGTAATTACGGTGTCAGCGGTTACGATAAAGTTTGGCCACTAGTGACCAAAGTTGAGACAAATAAGTCACAGATTAAATTGTTAAACAGTAAGACACCAATGATAACGGCTGTTTTATTAGTTGCATGTGTGTACAGGTGTCCGGCGATGACTGCCCAAATGTATTATTGGTCTAACTATGAATCGGCAACAACAGTGGTGTGGTAATGTATCGACCAATGTATCGAGCG